TTTGGGGCTCAGTCTGCTGGCTCTGCGATAACCAGCAGAGGTTTCTCATCGTGCCTCCAGCAGCCCTGCGAGGCTTTGCAGAGCAGATCCAATATGAGGTCAAGTTCCCACTAAAATCAAGTGGCTGGGAAGGAAAACTTCGTTACTGGCAGCAGCAGCGGTGCTGATGTTTATTAGTCAGCAATGAACCAGCAGAAGGTTTTATTTTGCTGGTTTTACTGCGAGCGCTGGGCTGTGGCTGTTGGCTCCCTCCCTGGGCACTCCAAGGGGGCATGTTCCTCTCACCTGCCCTTTTTCCCTGTTGATCTGTGGAAAGGTGGCGGTGGGGAGTCCTGACAGCTTCCAGGAGTCACCTTGTGCCCCTGCCCTGGCACATCCCACCTTGGTGGCCTTTGGGATGTTGGTGGCAGAGCCCCATGCCCCTCATTCCTCACCTGCAGCTCCATCATCCCCACCCCAGGAGAGCCCCCGGGTGCAGAGGGGAGAATATTTCGGATCCCAGCTCTGAGCTGCCAGCAGTGTCACTGCCAGGACAAAGCTGACCTGGGCATGGGTCCTTCCCAGGGCTAGGAAGCCAGGCTTTCTGTACTTCAACCTTAACCCAGCACAGAGAGGGGGTGCTCCCAGCTGGAGGCTCCTGTTGGAGACCCCTGTGGGGTCCAACTGGGAACAGGTGTCTGCCCCCACCATCCACTGGGATTCTGACGGCAGGGATTGCAGGGACAAGTCAGTGGCTGGCAAATCTGGCTGCAGGTGAGTGCTGGGGGCTCCACACCCCCCTTCCTCTCTCCTCCCCACTTCCCACACAGACACCTCCTCCCCCACCCACCCGGCACGGAATGCCCACGGCCCCACTGACGCATCACTGCGGCTGTGACACAGATCCTCAGCCCAGCACGGGCTCTGCTGCTCCCGGCCAGCCCCAGCCCGCCTTTCCCTGTGGCACGACCTGCTGCTGGTGTTTTAATTCCTGCAGCATCAGCAGGGAACGTGGGCTCGGCTTTCCTCTCCCCAGTGGTGCTGGGATGCGCTGGGTGCCCAGCCAGGGGACAGGGAGGTGCCTCTGAGCACTTCAGCAGTGTCACACCTTCCTCAGAGCAGCAGGAAATAGTTAAAAGCAAAGAAACGCTGACAAGGCTCTGCTTTGTCTCGCAGAGAACCCCTGAGCCCTGAGCTGTGCCCAGCAGAGGCGGGGAACAGGTACCCAGCCTGGCACTGAGCCCTCTTTGGGGAGCTGGAGGGCCTGGCACAGCAGGATGTGATGCCCCAAGCAGGTTCTTGCTGCAGGAGCTGGGCAGAGCCGTGGGAAAACTTCTCCCAGAGCTGGTGCTCTCAGAGAATCAACTGGGGGTGCGTGGCTGAGCAAGGTGGCAGCCCAAGGCAGGTGGCACCTCGTGGGCAATGCTCACCCTCACCCCCCCACACCGACTGCAGTGCCAGGTGAAGCCTCTGCATCCCCTGGTGATGGGACCCCAGAAAGGGGAGGATGAGCGAGACCCGGCTGTCTTCTCCCCCTAAACCCTCGCGTTCCCACGGCTCAGCTCTGGAGCGAGAGCCTGTGAACAGCCCTGGCCTCTGGCACAGAGGCTGCTCCGGGTGCTCCGGCAGGAAGACGGCACTTCTCCCTCTCCCCTGGGCTTTCCCTTGGATTCCTGCTGCGCTGTCCGAGGAGGGGCTTTGCCGGGTCAGGGCTCCAGAGCCCCGGGCTGTGCTGAGCTGGGAGGGCAGGCAGGGACAGAGCCCAGCGCTCCAGGACAGTCTTGGGAAGCCAAATACAGCAGATGATGGGTCAGTCCCACCACCTCTCACCCTGTGCAGGGTCCAGGGGGGCTGGACATGAGCTGCCCTTCTCTTCCTCATTCCCAGGTACTGGAAGCCCTCTTGTCTGCTCTGCCTGGTCCCTTTGGCTCGGATGGGGTGGGGGCCAAGTCCCCAGCACTCCCCACCTCCCGTCCCTCGTCCTGTCCATCACCCATCTCCAGTGTGACTTGCCTGGAAGGAGCAGGACAGGTGTCACCCCAGGGATCCTCGGAGCCGGACAAACCCAGATCTCAGCCAGGTGCAGGAGCCTGTGCCAAAGGTACTCCAAACCCTCGACGTGTCGCTGCAGCTTAAATACTTCCAAGGATTTCCCAGCAGGGGCCGAAGCCGGGCGGTCCTGCCGGGGCCACTCGGAGCGGCGATCCCGGCTGCTGGCACAGCGTGGAGTGGGGCAGGGGCCACTGGGGAGGGAAAGGGGGGAAATCCTCCATCCGAGGAGAAAAATCTGCGGGCAGGTGACGTCACGGCAGGAGGAAGGCAAGGGCTCTCCTGCAGCGGGAGATGGCAGGGTAGGAGCGTGGTGTGACCGGAGGGGCTGCCGAGGTGGCAGAGCTGCTTCCAGAGGGTGAGTCGCCTCCATCCTGGAGTGCCCCCCTCGGGTGGGGCGGCTGCTGCCAACAGTGCGGTCACACAGCACAGGGAGTCTTCGGGGGGGGCAAGGGAGGAACTGATACCCCAGGCAAAACGCGACCCCAAACATCCTGGTCTGCTGGGCAGGTCGATGGCAGGAGCTCACTGGCAGCTCCCACCGGGTCAGTGCATCTCCATCTTATCACACACCCGTGGCCTCGGCCCCTCCTGAGGTCACCCCCTGTGTCCATGTGCATCCACCCGTGCAGGGGCAGAGCCCCAAAGCCAACCAGCCCCGAGGGTGACACGGGGGAGCCACCCCGGCGATACCTGTGGCCAGGGTGGCACTTTGGAGTTGAGATGTGCTGCGGTGCCGTGACTTGTCTTTGTTTTCCTGGTGAGGCAGCTCCTCTTGATCCATATCCTTCCCAGTGCTTGAAAGCCAACCCAGCAGAGCCCAGCTGAGGACCCAGCGCCCCACGGGGTGCTCAGTGCCCTCCCCTCAGCTGGCATTCCTGCCCTGACTCCACACGTGCCACCACCCTGCTGGGAGCAAGCGGGGAGAGGAGAGCGCAGGAAGGACAAGCCCGCCGTCCCCTCAGATGCTCGTCTGCAGGTCCCCGTTGAGCAGGGTCCTCTGGGTCTCCGTGGTCTCGTTGAGCCTGGATTTGTCCTGCTTGCTGTCGCTGCGGTCCGCCTCGTCCATGCCGCTGACCTTCACCAGGCACAGCACGTTCTGAAAGCTCTTCTTGAAGTTGTCGGACAGGAAGGCATAAAGGATGGGGTTGGCACAGCTGTTGGCGTAGCTGAGGACCACCACGAAGTCGAACATGCCCTTGAGGACGGGAGTGGGCACGATCATGATGGAGACCGAGGAGACGTTGAAGATGTAGAAGGGGAGCCAGCAGAAGATGAAGACGGCGACCACGATGGAGACCATCCTGGTGACTTTCTTCTCAGACTTTTTCCTCTTGGAGGAGCCCACTCTGATGCCCGAGGACTTGACTTTGATGATGATGAACAGGTAGCAAAGGCAGATAATGGTGAGAGGCACCAGGAAGCCCAGGATGAAGGCGTAGATGATGAACCCCGTGTACCAGGCACCCGACTCTCCTGGCCAGATGATGGTGCAGCTACTCCTGCCGTGGTTGTGCTGCACCCCAGCATAAATCATGATGGGCATGATCACCAGCAGGGAGACGCCCCAAACAGCCACATTGATCATTTTGGCCGTCCTGGGCCGCCTCCACTTGGCAGATTTAATGGGGTGGACGACAGCCAGGTACCGGTCGACGCTCATAACCGTCAGGCAGAAGATGCTGGTGAACTGGTTGATCCCATCCACCGTCATGACAATTCTGCAGAGGGCTTTGCCGAAGGGCCAGTGCACCAGTGCCACCTGCATGGCCAGGAAGGGCAGGCCCAGCATGAACAGCTCGTCGGCGATGGCCAGGTTGAGGATGTAGATGTTGGTGATGGTCTTCATCTTGGCATAGCGGAGGATGACGTAGATCACCAGCGTGTTCCCGCACAGCCCGATGATGCAGACCACGAAGTAGATGAAGGTGAGGATGGCATTGCTGGTCAGGTCGAAGTGCTGGCCCGTGGAGTTCTGCGAGGTGTTGGTGGGAGCCTCCAGGGAGAAGTTGTCAAAGGGGGAAGCCGGGGAGAACCAGAAGGCAGTGGTGTTGGGCAGCTCGTACTCCAGCTCCATGGCTCTGCAGGTCCCTGGGCACTGCTGGCTCAGAGGAGCTGAGATGTCATCCTCCCTTGCTCTGGGGGCAGAGGAGAAGATTCTAGAAATCAGAGAGTAAACAGAAATGAAGGGATTCCTGGGGATCGTCTGCCCACCCTGCTGCCAAGCCCCGTGGCAGAGGTGCTCCCAGCAGAGAGGTTCCCCTCCAAGAGTGGTCTGTCCGGACATGCCACAGCTCCTCCTGTCCCTGGCGATACCGGAGCCCTCGCGACTCCCCGTATCCAACCGGTGTGTCCCGATGGGTGCAACTGATGCCCGGGAGCACCGAGCGCTGGTGCAGAACCCTCCCCGCCGCCCGGCCGTTCTGCGGGTGCCACCCCCTTCCCCGCCAGCCGGGACCGGCACCCCGAGCCCGGACGGCCCCGCTGGGCGACAAGCTCGGGGCAGGGGAGCCCCCACCCCCCGACCCATCGCTCCGTTGCCGGGGGGGCACCGTGCGGGGCTGTCCCGCCGCTCACCTGCTCCCTCCGCCGCCGCCGCCCGCCCCGGCCCCGCGGGCACCGGGGAGGCACCGGCAGCGCCCGCACCCCGCTCGGCTCGGCTCGGCTCGGCACCGCCCGTCCCGCACAGCCCCGCACCGCTCCGCGCGGCTCCGAGCAGCGGCTCCCGGCGCGGCTGGACCAGCGCACCGGCTGCGCCCCGCCCCGCGCGGGGCGGCTCTGCGGGGCCGGGGCGGGGACAGCCCGCACCGCCCTGGGCTGCCCACCCTGCCGTGCCCACCCTGCCGTGCCCACCCTGCCGTGCCCACCTTTGCCCACCCTGTCCTGCCTTGCCCTGCGCAGCCCACCCTGCCTGCGTTCCCTCCCCTGCGGTGCCCACCCTGCCCACAGCCCTGCCAGCCCCCGGAGAGCCCAGCCGGGATTCTCCCCAGCTCCCGGTGCTGCGTGCCTGGGATTGGAGCCTCTCCTTCTCTCAGAGTCTGTTGGTGCGTGGCAGAGGGTGCCCAAACCAGGGGCCCAGCGACACGTGTAGGGACCCTGATTCCCCCCAGAGCGTGGTGGGACCTGCCTGGATTCATGGGGCTTCCAGATGGAAACATCCTGAGGGACCCCTTGGCTCCTTCTCCTAACACAGCCTTGGCCTCACTGACCAGCTCCTGCTGTAGGAGCAACATTTCGGTTCCAGCCACAGGCTCAGCTTCTCCTGATGTCTCCGGGGCCACCAGGAGATGGACAGGGCGATGGCAGCCTGATGGCCATGCCGTGACCCCAGTGAAGTCTCCCAAAGTCTCCCAGGAAGCTGAGAGTGCCTTGACCCCAGGATTTTTCACCTTGCCTCCAAAGACAAGCCAAGGCAAGTCCTTGCTGCTCCTCACACCTGGGAGAGGTGGGAAGGTGATGCTGAAATATTTGGGGTCTCTGGGGAGGGGTGCAGTACAGGTGGCTCCTGCCACAGCCCCTCCATCTGCAGTGACCCAGTGATGAGGACTGGAGGAGGAAAACCAAAAAGGAGAGGTTTGGGGCAGACAATCTCTGTTCTGGCTTGTTTGAGATATTGAAAGCAATTAAATAATCACTATTCCTGCCCTCCTTTCCATCACCTCTCCAAGAGACAATAGAAAGCAGGAAATTAAGAGTGACTGGGAACAAAGAGCCCAGTGCTGAGGCTGCTGATTGTGGAAGGAGGTTCTCACTTGCACTTCACCATCCACGTCCCAAGGCAGATCTAAAGACATCAGGTCCTGGGGCATGAGAAGAGTCGTTATCAGCCTCATAAATCTTTAGGAGGCAGGAAAGAGCCCCTTCTGGTATAGATGATGTGGAAATGAATATCCCAGTAACTGCGAGAGGAGGGAAGGTGGGGCTGGAGATGGTTTGGCTGATGTGAATGGGGGATTGGATCTCTGTGGGTGTTCCCTTTGGGGTGTCCTGAGGAATGTCAGTCCCTGGGATGCTGCTCCAGGCGGGGTTGGCTGCACGTGCCCCCAGGATGGTTGTGCAGGAGGGAGCACTGCGTGCCAGCCTGGCACAGGAGAGGGGTTTGATGCCTTGTGACCTTTTCACAGCTGTTTTATCCTGTCTTGGCTGGTTCCTGTGCCCAGGAGGGGTGTCCTGACTGTGCCCTTCCCTCGGCAGTGGGCAGAGCGTGGTGCAGCTTTCCCTGCCTGCATTTCCAGTGCTGCCTCCTTGGATTTCTCCCGTGAGTAGGTGACGCTGCCACATCCCTTCCCTGGGTCCCTTGGGCACCAAGCTGAGCCCTTCCCCCTCCTCTTGCCCTGGCACTGAGACCACGCCAGGCTGGCAGTGGCTTCTCCCAGCCCCCAGTGCGGTCCTGAGCATCATCACCCCCCGTGCCAGGGGATGGAGCGGTGGGGCAGTGCAGGGACCCCGGGGTTCTGCCAGCTGGCTGGGGCTGCCAGCACTCCCAGTCCTTCCCTTCCACCTCCGTGGGAATCTGGGGCCAGGGAGCTGGGAGAAGCCAGCCAGCAATCTCGCTTGGCTAAACCCAGATCTGATCTTCATTAAAACCCCCATAAAACTAATGAAATGATGGCCCGGTGTGTATTGAGGAGCTGATCGGAGCTGATATCCATCCAGGAGGAGGGCAGCAGCAGCTGGCTGAGCTGGGAATCTGTCCTTGAGCCTTCTGAAGACATATTTTTTTATTCTGTTTAGATTTAGGATTGAATTAGGATTCAGTCTAGAGTCTGATCTGTGTCTCTGGGTGGTCCCTGGTTCGCAGAGACGCTGTACCCCAGCAGCTGGTTTGGTGCTGGCAGATAAACTCCTCTTTGTCCTTTTGCCTGGGAAGCATCCACTGTGCTGAAAAGCGATTTACTGGCAGGGCTGGAGAGAGGAGAAAGGCACGGCCCCTTCCCACACGGCCGAAATAACCCCTGGGAGAGGGGCACGGCGGTTACGTGACCACAGGGAGCTTTTTAAAGTCCTTCCAAGTTTTCTGCCATCTATTCCCAGCGGTTCTGCAAGAGTCCCAAGGGAAAACAGCACTTTCGCCCCCTGTCCTGGAAGTGAGTGTCGTAAGGAGCCGGGTTTGGATGCCAACGGAGGGGTAGGGTGAGCCGGCCTTTCTCCCACATCTGTGGAGGGCAGGCAGTGACATCTCCAGCATTTTGCAGGAATGAGGGACACTGTGTTGGACTGGAGCTCTCTGGGCTGGGCTCTGGCACGGTGGAGGGGAACTGGGGGGCAGCTGCTGTTCCACAGCAGTCAGGAGGGGAAGGATTTGCTCCTGAGCGCGGCCAGCCCGAGGATCCCCGAGGTTCATCATGTCCTGAAGATGCTCCTCTCTCTCTGCAGAGCTGGCCCCAAACAGCTCTGCCTCTGCCGTGCCCAAACCCACTCCTGCCCTCAGAGGGACCCCGCTGTCCCCCGTGGCCATGGGGACAGGGCCAGCACAGGCAGGGATGCCCGTGGTGTTCCTCTCTCCTGGGTCCTTTGTGTGGCACTGCCCTTTCCCTGCCTTCTCCCTTCCCATCTCCAGCCCTGCAGCCGCGGGCGTTTTGATGGCTCTGCTGACGCCTTGCTGGAGGCTGCCAAGCTCCACTGCGGGGATGCCTGGGCTGGGGGAGGCTTTGCTCTCTGCTAATTAGCCAGACAAACAGGTCTGGACCATCTCCCCACGCCCCGAGGCGCGGCAGGACCAGGCTGGTGGCTGCCAGATTTAATCGGGCAGCGTCTGCAGCGGTGATGGATGGGGAGGGAGAAGAGCTGGCGCCTTCACCTGCGCCCAGGGCAGCATCCAGGCAGATCCAGGCTCTCCACAGCCCCCGCGGATCCGGAGTCTCCACAGCCCCCGCGGATCGGGGCTCTCCCGGGGGAACCCCGCACCCCTCTCCGGCTCCGGCTCCTGCCAGACCTCCCTACAGCCGGTTCCTTCCTCCCTCTCCCACCTCTCCCCTTCTCTCCCTGCCGTTATTTGCCTCCGTGATTACTTTACTGGTCTCTGGAGGGGCCGGGCTGCAGCGGGAGCCGCCGCTCGCATTCCCGGTGCATCCCAGAGCTGCTGAGCCTTTGGCAGCAGCGGGTCGAGGTGCCAGCTCCTGCCCGTGTCTCTGCCCGCCGTGCCTGGCTCGTCCGAGGGTCCTGTGCAATAAATCGGGACTGAACAGCCTGGGTTTGGCAGCCAGGCTTTGTTCCAGCTGGAAACGTCAGGGCTGGTGACAGCACACGCTGCTGCTCGTGTCCCCTCCTGCTCGGAGCAGCTGGTGGAACTCCGTGGCCCCCCAGCCCTGCAGAGGGTCCTGCCCGTCCCTCAGGACGAGCCCAAAGCCAGTGGAGGAGCACAAAGCTGCTCCTTCGTGCGCTGTGACCCAGGGGGGGACAGGAGGGGACAGGAGCTCTCGGTATGGGATGGCCCGACCCTGCTCGGGCTGCTCCCCTGCCCTGTCCTCGGGGATGGCCCTGGATGTCCTCATCCCTCATCCCGCTGTCCGGGCTGGCTCCAGCTTGACACAGATGGATTTGGGTTGGGAAAGAGCCCGGCCGTGAGCTCAGCCTGCGGGAAGGGGACACAGCAGGGACACAGCAGGGACACAGCAGGGACACAGGGCCATGCCCAGCGAGAGGCACAGCTGGGGCATCTCCAGGTGCTGGGATGTGCCCCTCTGTGCCCTCCACCTGCCCCAGACACCACTAAGCAGTTTTATGGCATAAAATCCAGAGGGATTGGGGTCCTGGCTGCCCCAGGGCTGCCCCTTCTAATGTCTCATTCACCTTAACAAGAGATTGCACAAGAATTTGGGCTGGTTTTGTTGTTTAAAATGCATTTTAGGGGGTACAGGTCTCATCCTTCCTGGTGCTGGGCCAGGCAGGGGCAGGTGGGAGCTGCCTGGGGCTGAGTGACATGGAGGTGACACCGGAGAAAGGGGGTGAGAGCTGACTTTGCTGATGCTCCTGCACAGAGCCCCACTGCCATCACTGTCCCCACTGCCACCTCCCCCCGTCCCAAAGCAGGGCCAGCCCTGCCAGCCACCCCCAGAGCGTGTCAGCCGTGTCCCCAGGGCCAGCCTGGCCGGGTCACCAGCTGTCCCTGCCAGCACAGCTGCCCGGGGATCCCCGGGGGGAGCAGGGGAGCTCTGTTTGTCTGTCCCCGTGTCCCTCCCAGCTGGCACCTCGCCCTGCATCTGCCTGGCCGGGGCAGCTAATGAGGGATGCGGCAATTACAGGGCCAGATTGATTAAATCCAAAATCAGGGAGGTTTCAAATGGCCTTGACCTTTCCCAACTGAGGCAGGGGAGGCTGATCAAAGGCTGTTGGAAGATAAACACTCTCATAAAGACGGGTTCTGTTGCAAATGAGCTGGATGTGTCCTTCTGCCACCACCTGCTCCTTCTGGCACGGCACAGGCGGGGGACACCAGGGCTGGCCGGGCTCCCTCTGCTCCGGGGCTGCCACTGCAGGTCCCTCTCCCTCCCTCCAAGGCAAGGAATCGGTGATGGAGCTGCTCCTGCCCCCAGCACACCCGGCACTGTGGGTTTGGCCACTGTGTGCCCCGGGACGATGCTCTGGGGGATGTCCAGGTTGGACAT